CAATGTCCACTCGCTTCTCCCCTTTGGCGCCTTCCCTCAGCTTCCCCCTTCCTGAGAAAGCCCCTTTGGGCTTGTTTTTAGAGTTCAGCTGAAGCCCAGGACCCCCCCTGAACTGTTTTCCCATTGTTATTCTTGCCAACCTTGCCATGCATTTAGACCGACTTGGGCACCGGATAAAATATTTATGCTGTTATTTATGGGAGTAGCTGCTGCTGCCTCGGGAAGGAATTTTAATGAAAACCAATAAAACCCCTAGTGCATATCAGCAGCTCCGCTTCGGGCTCTGGTCCCTCCCTCCACTTTCGTCTCCTGGTGTGGGTCTCCGGGCTGGATTCTGCGCTCACCACCCCCCACCTACCATGGCCTCCTCAGCTCAGGATCCCCATCCTCTCTCCACCCCGACTCCTAGCAGCAGTGAATGCATTCGGTCCAGCCAGCATTTCTGGGCATCTGTGTCGTGAGCCCCTGTGTTGAGTGCTATAGGGATGTGGCCCTGAACCGGACCTACACCCTGGCCCAAATCGGTTCCCGATCTAGCTCGGAAAACAGACCCAGGCATCAATAACAGGGCTTGACTGAGCGCCTGCCATGTGCCACGATTCTGACACCCAATCTCTCAATCTCACCATAACTTATCAGGTACGTATCATCTGCCTCTTACAGAGGACCAGAGGCTCAGAGAGGTAAAGTGACTTGCCTGAGGTCACACAGCATGTGAGTGTCAGAGCTCGAACTTGTACTCCCTTTGTTAGGCTCCAAAGCCCAGGCTCCCCTTACACACCAGGTTGCCAGTGACACTAGTATGAGGCAGAGTTTGAACAACAAGGCCATGAAAATGATGTGGACAAGCGCACCGGGATGAGGAGGCCGCTCCCAGCTGAAAGACTCTGAGAAGGTCTTGCAGAGGATGGACTGTAAGGTGAGGCTTGAATAGCAGTGGTGTCTCAGAGGCTGGAATGGGGAGCCTCTGGGGAGGCTGTGGATGAGCTTAGAGGGAGAAGAGAGAAAGAGGGGCCCTGTGAGTCAGATCCCACTGAGTGGAGTGATGTGACGGCCCACTGAGGCAGGGGTCTTCACCCAGCGCCCAGGCCAGATCACCTAGAGGCGGCCCCGCTAATCACACTTCTTAGCCATGATTCACCAAGTATCTTCTCTGTTCGGCCCAGGCTGGGTGACGCAGACAAGAGAGGAAAGGCAGGTCCCACCTTTAGAAGCTCCCAGTGTGGCGTGAAAGCCAGATGGTCTCACAATCAGGGTGGAAGGAACGCCAGGGGTTACGAGCAGAAGTATCCTACACGATACAGGAGTGCCCACAGAGCGAGGGGAGGGCTTGCCGGAGCAGGGTTCTCCAGGACAAGTAGGAACCACCCAAATGGACACCAGGAGAGAAGGCATCAGATGGAGGGGACATCGTGTCCCCTCAGAGGTGAGGGGCCGTGGTGTGTTGTAAGGGGCGGGGGGATGAGCCAGCAGGAGGGGCCCCTGATTGCCTGGCTCAGGACCTGGAGTTCGTGTGCAGGGCAGTGGGGAGCCATAGAAAGGGGAGTGCCAGGATCCAGTGCGTTTTTACATTCACATCACCTGGGAGGGTGATCCTGGCACTTAGGTGCGAATATGTATATGGGGCTTTAGCTGAGAATAGGGCTGTCCAGAGGGGAGAGCGCAGTTGCCAAGGGTTAAAGGGCATCCTCGAGGGCTCAGGGGGGAAACATTTGCCACAGCGGAAGGCCAGGATGGGCTTTAAGCCTTTGGCTTAGGACCGAAGGCGTAAGTTCCTCAGGCGTCCTGGCTATCTAAAGTATGATCTCATGACCTCTGGCCCCATGCCCACTTGGAGGTCGGCCAAACTGAGTCACGGTGGGGAGACACAGGATCTGCTCCCTTGTCCAGGCTTCTGACAAGCAGGTATGGCCCCAAGCGAGAGCAGAGGCTCGCGTGGCTGACGGGCCTGGCCATATGAGGTGGGTGACCCTGGACGGATGAGTTGCCTCTCAGACGCTGTGTCCTTATGTGCAGAAGAGGATAATAATATAGGCCTCACAGGCATTGTGAGGGCAGTGGCCAGCTCAGAGTACATGCTCCATAAACATTTGATCCCTTTTCTTCTGGCGTGGGTTAGAGTTGAGCTGCGCTAGGGGTATCTAGGAGGCTGCTCTGTCCATGGGACCTATTTCAGTTCCCTGTGTGGCAACGAGGTCTCGGGCCCTGGAGTCCAGAGGTGTCCTGGCCCACCCTGCTGTCTACCAACCTGCCCCACCCCATCACAGTGCAACGAGGGCCTCAGATCCCCCGTGAGGTCCCAAGCACCTTTCTCCCCAGTGTCGGAGAGTAATGTGGTATCCTCAGGGCTCTCCCTGGTTCCTCTTGTTTGGCACTCAAGCCGCAAGAAAGTAAGTTATGTGCCCAAACCACAGTTAGTACCTGACAGAGCGGCACTTAAATTCATGCCTTCACAATCCTAGCCTGAAGCATTGTCCACAGCACTGTTACCTTGATTACTCTCCTCTCTCTGAGGATACTGAGACCATGGAAGTGAAGCAACGTAACCACGGTCACACACGAGTTAGTATCCAGACTTAAAACCCATTGGTTTCACCACCACTCTTGATATCCTGGAGTAATTCAAGAGCCTGGTTATGGTTTGCACTACACAGGCAATACCACCACCTGGTGGCGGTATGCCTGAATTGCAGGGCTAACTCCTCATTCCCTTCAACTTGAAGGTTAAAACAGATTTTCAGAAAAGAAACTAGCTGAGCGACATCTCTACCACAAATCCCAAACATAGTCCCTCTTCAGATTCCGTCGAAGAGTGACACTTGCAGGAGAGCTTATGGGGTTGCAGATTTGGAATGGGGTTATTGACATAAACAGATCTAGTCTGAGGCCTCATCTGTCCTAGCTTTCATCTTCTATCCCCGTGATGAAGCTGGTGGACTCTGTTCACTCTGCTATGCAATCCTGGCCTGAAAATGGGCTGTCTCTTTAAAAATCCTTCTGGTTGTAACTGAAGCAGCAGCTGAGGCTGTTGCCAGGGGCAACCTGGCAAGCCACAGTGCGTTAAATTAAATTAAACAGGACTCTGGCTGCTCCCCTCCCCTCCTGGAGAAGGGAGGGGCTGCTCCACCTCTCTCCTGGAGAATAAAATTGCTGTGAAACCTCTCAGGGCTGCAAGGCATTCATTTCCAGAGTTATAGCTCCCAGGGGCAAGGTGTTTGGAGGCAGCCCGGGAGTCCCTGAAAGGGCTTCTGCCAGAGGAGGAGTCTTCACTGGGGGGTCTGCCCAGCCTGGGCTCTGGGCAGCACAACACGCTTTCTCTTGTTTGGTCCTCGTCACAGACCTGGGAGATGGGGGTTCCAGGTCTGTAGAGGGGGCCAGCCCAGGCTTCACGCTGGAGGGGTCTCACATTAGGCTGCCCCTCATGGCAGATCTGTGGGAGGGAACTGGGCAATGCCCAGGCACCAGCGCCAACCCTAAAGTGAAATCCTTAGATCCTGGGACCGAGTGAGGCACAGCTCTCAGGCAAGGGGTCCGCAGGACATTTCCCTACTCCCCAGAGGCTCGCACTGTTATTTCCCTCATTTTAGAGAGGCAGAAACAGAGGCTCAAAGAGGCAGAGGCTTGCCTACTTGACCCGGCTCCTCTGACGTCAAGTTCATGTTCTTCCCACAACATCCAGCTGCAAGGGTTTGCGCGGTGCTTACCGCTTACAGAGTGGACTCACACAGATTCCATTCGATCCTCAGACCCTCCCGTGTGGAATGTAAAATGTGTCACCATTACTCTCTTAGCACAGACAGGAAAACTGAGATGGGCCCATGTCCTCAAGGTCACACACCAGCCGTGTAAAAGCCCAGACTGAAACCTGGAAACGGTGCTTTTGTTGCTATACTGATAACAGCAAATTTTTTGGAGCACTTGCTAGGCACCAAGCACATAGTTTGCGTGTTAACCCATTCCACCCCCAGGGTGACCTATGAGGTGGTGACGATGATTGGCCCAATGTTACGGAAGAGGCAACTGTGGCCCAGAGTGGCACAGCTAGAAGGCAGCAGAGCTGGGAACCCAGCAGCCCAACCCCACCACCTTTGCATCTAATGACTCCAGACGAGTGGTTCTCAAAGTGTGGCCCCCGACCAACAGCAGCAGCGGCACCTGGCAATTTGATAGAAATGAGAGTTCTCGACTCGCTGAATCCGGAACTCTGCAGGAGGGGGGCGTGTGGGGGGGACAACCTGGGTTTCAGTAGACCCTCTGGTGTACTAGGTCCTCCCGTACTGCACCGCGGGGAGCTCAGTGGTTGGTGGATCTATTTTTTAAATGGGCCAGAGGGTCAGAATTGTGATCCTCAGGGAAGCCTGAAGATCCAAGGTCCTGCAGCCGCATGGGTGAGCGACAAAGGTAGGTGATCTGGCAGAACCGACAAAGAATAGTGTCAGCACAAGCCACTTAGCATCAGGACAAGCCATTACAGAGCTGGTTTGGGTTAGCTCAGCGGGTACGAGGATGGAACTTGGCCATCCCATTTACTTCAAAAGGTGGCCCCCGGAGAAGGAAATGTTGGGGTGGGGGGGCTTGGCTGTTTTAAAGGATTTCAGTAGAAGTAATATACG